TTTTGGAGGTCGAAACTCGATCAAACTTAGTGCAACTTTTTGCTTTCTCTTCTCCATAACATAACCTTGAACTTTTATTTTTGGACCAACTCAAGTTGCTTAACGAATTTCGGAGAACGCGGAATGCCAATGGCGACGACGATGAATTCCAGACTTTGAAAAATTCTAAGTCTGAAATCAGCCGCTGATTCAATTTTCGAGCCTCTGTTTGACTTAGTTCCAAGTTGATCTGGCTCTTGTTCCAAAAACAAAGTTTGTTCTACATGATATGGACTACAACTTTCATTTAAGGTCCAACCTCAAAACTGGTATAGAATCTACTGTTCTACTTTGACCAATGTAGGATCACGATGAAGCTTAAATTATCCTTTTTGATCCATTGGAGCATTTTCTGGCCACCTGCTCAACATGAACCCTTCATAACTTTTGTTCATGAGTGCAAGTAGAGTTGTTTGAGCAAGGTACCAAGGTTTGGTTGACTTCATAGGTTTCCATCCACTTGATATAGCAATTCATGCAAAGATATGACTTATCATTTAATGTGACTTTTTGATTCCAAACTTCATGAAACTTTTCCACGGGTCTAGATGGATGCATGGGGATGTAATGTACATGGAATAAGCATGTTTAACATTACTCTTGCATAATCTTAACAAGGGTCCATATGTAAGCAATGTGCGTGGCCCAAGTTTAAGTTGGAGCTCCATCATGTAAATTTGATCTTGACACCTTCATTACCACTCGACATGTCATGTTTGAGCTCAAACCCATTGCTTAACTGGTGACAAACACCTGGGGTGTTACAGAGGATGCAGATGCCTAGGCTAGTGAGGCTACTGGTGGGGGGCAATGAGGGAGTAGCTGGGGTCGTCGGCCACCCCTGCTAGCAGGTGGGGTCACCGTCGTGACTCTTGCAGGTGGGGTGGACGGCAAGGCTTTACATGGGTGGCCGGCGACAAGAGTGGCCGAGATGTGGCTAGCCAGAGCACGCGTGGCCGACCTGTGCCCTCTGCTTCTTGGCCACAGCATGCTAAGTACCCCCCTTTAATGACATGTGGGCCCTACATGCTAATTAGCCTTGACTGCCATGTGGGTCCAACGTTTGAATGACATGTGGGCCCTGCATGCTAATTAGCCTCTCTTGTAATGAATTCATTATGCAAACATCATTTCTTTTTTTAATCTATGGCAAAAACTTGTAACTAGTTTTCTCCCACATACTAACTCCAAATGTGATGCTTTTTTTCTAAAATTTTCTAAAATTATGATCTATCAACTTATTGCGTTGATTTTGGTCATATTTTCATGTGACAAAGTTTGAACAATTCAAAATTTGAATTTAAAAAAATGACAACTTTAAACCAGATTTTAAAACTCCAAATGATTTCAACTAAAAAAGTCATGAAAATAAAAGTTGTAGAACTCGTCAAGATCTACAACTTTTATTTTGGTCATTTGTTTATCCGACAAAGTTATAGTAACCTTATTCACAAATTTTATGTATCTCTCTTATAATTTATGAAACTATAAGAGAGATATGTAAAATTTGTGAACTATGTTACTATCACTTTGTTGGATGAATAAATAACCAAAATAAAAGTTGTAGATATTGACAAGTTGTGCAACTTTTATGTTCATGACTTTTTTCATTTGAAATTACTTAGTACCCCAAAATTTTGTTCGAAGTTTTAATATTTTGAAATTCAAAATTCAAACTATCCAAACAAAGTCATATGAAAAAATGACCAAAATCAAAGTGGTAGATCTCGATGCGTTATACAACTTTGTTTCTGACATTTTTTCTAGTTGAAATCATTTATTACCACACAAATCTATTTGGATTCCTAATACTACTAATATGGTCACTGACATAGCGGACCCACAGTGCTAGGACCAAAAATTGGCCAGCGCAGGCTCTGCCACCGACATAGCGGACCCACCGCGCTAGACCAAAATTTAGCTGCTACACCTCATAGCTCTCCTGCGCTGATTCGCTCACCGACACATGGGACCCACCATGCCTTCCGCTTAAGAAGGCCAAAATTCCCCTCGCGGTCGTAGCTTGCCTTATCCTCTTGATAGATCAGACAAAGGGCAAAATTCTCCACTCGTCGCAGACCATGGACTCCTCCTCCCTCCCCTCAACCTAGTGCCACCACTCGCCCATCCCACCGCCACACCTCCGCTGGTGTCCGGATCCGCCCATCCCGCCGCCACACCAATGCCGGAGGCCAGAGCGGCCCATCCTGCCGTTGACATCCCTAGCTCCCTCAGCCGGCTGATCTTCATGGCTCCATGCAGAGCGCCGCCGCCTCCTCTAGCCATCGTCTTCCCAGCCCTAGCCTCATCATGCCACCGCCGCCACTCCTAGATCCTACTTCGACTTTGATCCAGGCGCACTTCATGGATCCGTTCCTGCCCTTGTCGTGCCTTCAGTGCCGCCGCTGCCTGTAGCTGCTACGTCCCTAGCCAACCGCGTCATGCGTGATCTCCTATCCACAGGTTAGGCGCCTCATCCTCATCCTCTTTTGTGTGCTCCTCGTAGTAGGTGATTTGCTTCCTTCACTTGTTAGCTGCGGCGACTGGTTGTTACAGTGAGCTGAGATTTTTGTTTTTAGCTAAACATTAGGTTAATGACTTTGAATGCATAGATTAGAACATGATGAATTTTGCTGAGATTACAGTTCTTTTCTCTCTAGTTTCTGATTTTGCCTTGTAGCTATGGCAATTAGCAATTTGTAAATAGTATGTTCCATATGAATTTGCTGAAACAAAATGAATGCATTGAAATGTTCTATTGTCTCACTTATGAGGAGCTGGTAGTTCTTGATCAAGAGTGTAGTGAGCATAACATTTTGTATTGTTCAGTATTTTCTTTTCAGGTGTGGTGTGTAGAGATATTGCCTTTATGAATAATACTTATGTATTGCCTCTTCTTCTTGTTGTAGAAGAGTACTGATGTTAGCTTTGTCTCTAGCATGTTGGTTTGCTTCTAGCATTTAGTAGAATAAGTTGCATTATCAAGTTCATCATTTGAAAGTGCTTTTTGACTGACTATTAGACTGCTCCTTTATTTCGTTTACAATTTCTCTACTGATCTGTTAGTTCTTTCTTCAACTTTTTTATAGAAACTGAATCCAGTTTCTAGTCTTTCTGTGTTTCATCATAATAAGTATTAGAAGAAATGCCAAAAAACAAGTATGAGTAGGAGAGGGATGAGAACATTAAGAAGGTTCAGGATGTTTTTAAGTCTTTGGGTATTCTAGTGTTAGCATAGACTGTTAGGGATGTTTTTTTAAAAGGGAAAGAGGGCAAAGGGAAGAGACTAGTGTCTAACAAACCAGAATCTGACATTGAATATGATCCATCCTCTAACATTGATAACCAATTTGATAGTGATGATGATTATGATGATGACCTCAATATTATGGTCAATACTGAGGTGAGATGGATTACTAGGCCAATTTACAAGTTTACATATCCGTCTATTTGAAACATATACTTCATTCTTCCAAATATTTTCAATACTTAGGAAAGTGGCGATGAGACAGCTATTTCATTCTTCCAAATATTTTCATGCATTACAATAGTCCCATGTGAAAATTGTGTCTAATAATTCATTTGTGTGGCTTCAGTCAAGGTTGGATGTGGATGTTAGGAATGAGGGACCAAGCAAGGCTGCATGCACTGATATCATTAAGAGGGGAGTAAGGCAGCAGAGGTATCACCTTAAAAGGAAGTACTTCGACGACTCACTGACAAGAGAACAGTTGTTGGCCAAAGAACCTCCACCTAAAATGAAGAAAGAGGAATGGATCCAGCTAGTTGAGTACTGGTGTGGCCCAAAGAATCAGGTCCATGCCTGCATTATCTGCATTTGTTAATATGTAATGCAAACTATGCATGTGAATGAAACCTCTGTATTGCATTTGTGGTGCATGAGAAATGTGCTAAGAATAAAGTAAACCGAGGCCAAGTGCAGCTTCACCAAAGGACTGGATCTAGGTCCTATATTGCCCATTGATATAGCCTGGTATGGATACTATTGCTTTCTGTGTATTCCAATTATAAGGAACTATGTGCCATTAATTAGTTCTTGCACTAAAATGTGAAATGTTATGGAGACAAACCTGATTGCCTGATGTTTGTTTGGATCCAATATGTGTGCCATTAATTACTTAGGCTTGTGAAGCGTGACAAGTACTGAAGAACAACAGCATGTGGACATTGATGGTGTTCAGCCATATAAATTGTCAGTAGATGTGTGCTTCATAGTTCAGTACAACCTGTTAGTATGTCTTTTGTATAATTAGCAGGAAAGATGGGACATTTGTAGCATAGTAATTAGCATGTGCTTTTGAAGTGTCAAGTTAGCATGTGCTGTATGATTTCTCATAATATTTGAAGTGTTACAAAGGCAGTTTACTGTTTGTAGTTTGGCCCTCTGATTTCTGAGATGAGCTCCCATGTTCAGAATATTTGCACTGTGCTGAGTGAGCTATAATCAATAGGTGTTTAGGCTCCAATTATTTTATGGAGACCATCTGAAACTAAAATTTGAAAGAGGAATTGCTATGTCATCAGAGATGATCATCATCAGTAGTAGGTGTTGTTTCTATGTTGTTTTTCTTGATCTGTCCAGGTTGCATTGATGCATGTTTCTGTGTTGTTTTTCTTGATCTGTCCAGGTTGCATTAATGCACAATTTTTTTTATGTCGATGGCCAACTAGGAATCAAATACATGTGAATGTTGATTGGCAAATCATAGTAGTAATTAGTTGACTATGCTAGTGATTGCATTTGTTGTTGGCATAAAAAATTTAGAGGCAGATACTTGTATGATCTGTAGTGCATACATATTTTGGCATCTTGCTGTTGAAATGTAAAAATAATTTATGGCTAATCTTATATCCCATGTTTGTCTAGCCCTCTCTTTACCTTCATGGATATCATTGTAATCCAAATTTTTTGCATGCTACAGAGGCCTTAGTACAACAACATGGATCCATATCCTATTGATTTCTTTGGGGAATGTATGAATAGTCCACAAAATGGTCATACTCTTGCAAATGAGATATATGTAAGTTACATAATTATTGGATACATGTACTGTACTCAAGTAAATGCCTAGTTGAACACTATTGTATGGCCTTGTTAAGTGGATTCATTCTATGTAGGAACATATGGTTGTAGAGAAGGAAAGAGAACCAGAAGAAGGAGAAGCACAAAAGTCTCCCTCTAAGATTGTTGCTGACAGTCTAAGCCAGATCAGCCGTTCATCCATCTTCCTTCCAAACATTGGTGTCGCTCGAGTGTCGAAGACTGCACGGTCTACATCGACAGCCGCAGAAGCACGCCTGCAAGCTCAGTTTGAGGCAACACTCCAAGCAGAAAGAGAGGAAGCTGCTAGGATGCAGGAACAGTTAGAAGCATAGCTTCTTGCTCAGCAGGTCTCACTTGAAGCCAACCAAGCAGCACTTGAAGAAAACCAAATTTTTTTGTGCCAAACCCAAGAAGAAGTGAAGGGGATGCATACCAGGTTTGAAGAGACTAATGCACTGCTACGAGCTATGCTAAAACTTTAGAAAGATTGAGGTAGGTCTGAATGTAGTTTTGGTTGATGATGCCTTTGCCTAAGATTTTGCTACCTTGCTAGAACACCAAACTTTCTCAGTTGTTGGAACTTTGTGCATTGTGTTGTCAGAACCTATGTCGAACTTATTTGCATCTGTGTGTATGTTTGAACCTATGTGATGGAACCTACAACTAGTGTGATGTGTTTGAACCTGCAAGCACTGTGTCTTATGCTCTGGAATGTATGTGGATGATGGCTTGACTGAAATGTGTATGCTTTATGAGCTCTGATGAGAATGCTAGAAAGATCTGTCTAACATTGGTCATTGAATTGATACATATATTTGAGCCACGTTCGTCATTGAATGAAAGGAAAATTTATGATGACCTAGAGTCATCTCAAGATGTCTCTAACTACCTTACATAACAAGACAAAATGAAAATGTCACAAAATCTACATAATTATATATGACACAACCGTATCATCACAATAAGTTATCTAAATTAGGGTTCCCAGGACATAATGTATGATGGTTGGCGTATTAGGTGACGAGTTCACCAACCAATATGTGACAGTCATAGTCGTCATTAAATGACAACAATATATGATGACACAACAAAACCGTCACAAAAGCTCATCACATTTTGTGATGGTTTTCCATATTTTCGTCACAAGGTACATTTTGTGACGGTCATTATATGACGACCTTTATGACGGTGGTTTTTCGTCATACCATTCATTTTGTGACAAATTCTGTACTTTCCATGACACTTTCATTTTGTTATAAAAGCCTAGATTTTTTGTAGTGAGGTGGGCCTTTCCTTCATTGCTTGTTTTGGGTTTGCATTACGCTTTGTTGGATTGTGCACTTTAATCACATTTTCCATGTATTTTAGATATATGTCCTGCAAAACACTTATTTGCCAATACATGTGGAATTGTGTCAATATAAATAACATATGTATGAAAGTTGTGCTAGTTCACCTTTGTTTGTCTCTTATTTGGCGGTCGGATTTGGTCGATAAGGACCGCCAACAAGATCCCCCAAGCTCACCCTTTGCTCGTCCTGAGCAAAAGCTAAGACTTTGGTTGTTGATTAGGAGTTGCTGTAATGCCGATTACATTTCAAAAGTACCATGTTTATAACAAAGTATTCTTCCTTAATTTGAATATGTTGGCATTTTATCCACCCTTTTTCTTTGTTACCTGTGGGCCTTTTTGCTTTTCCAAGTCTTGGCAGTTGCAAGATAGAACGGTTTTATAGGACCACTAGTCATTCATTCTTCGATCAACTTTCTTTCTGGAGGTTTTGAAAATTTTGCAAATAAAGTAAGTCCCTCGAATGATTCACTCAATCGCTCAATGTGTATGATACTCACCAAAGGCTTTTGATGTTGCCTTCTTTTTCATCCTACTTCTAATAGGCTTTTGTGGGGTTTTAGGTGGGGATGAAAAGAGAGGCATACTTGCATCACATAATATTTCTAAGTCAAAAACCGGATCCAATGAGATGCAAGTCATACACTTTGATCAAGAAGTCCAAGTGTGTGAAATTTAAATCTTTTTAATTTCAACTCCTTTTTGCATGGCTCTCTTTGTTTTTGTTTTGAAACTATGGGCTATCTTTCTTTTTGTTTTTTTCTCTCATGCTTTTAGCATGGATTTTTTTCTGCTCATGCTCTTTGGCATGGATTTTTTTAACATAGCCCATATTTTTTCCTTTTTTTGGCTAAGGTAAACTTTGAAGAGAGAGTCATGACATGTGGATGGAGTATTTTTATTTGGTGGACGAATGGCATGTTTTTGCGTAACTCTCAATGTAAGAGTCAGCATCTTATTTCTGGAGTGTACGTGAATCTTGATCATGGGTGCGTGACGAGAATCTCACATGGGTCACAACAAATTGACAAAGCTCAACATGATAACAAGCAGCATATGACTAAGGTTTTTGTAATGTGTATTGTCATATGGCTTTGGTAGGACATATCATCATTGAGGAACTTTTCATTTTAGCATTTGTTTGAAAATAAAAACTCTGGGTGTCAAGTTTTTCTTAGAACAAATTCATAGCAAATTTCATTGTACCATATCATAACTTGCAACAACTTAGACAAGGATCATGCGTTTGCAACGCACAAGTTTCAAGTTTTTAGGATGAGACATTTTTTTGCCAACAAACTCAAATCTTGGGGAATGCTAAGTTATAAACTAGGTGCAGAAGAAATATAAGATAGAGCAACTATTCATCATTTCAACAAGGATGAACTAAAACATTCTTACTACACATATGTGGAGTGGAATAAATATTTTTTGTTCTTTGTTCTTTTTTTCATGTTTTTTTATATGCAAAATAATGAAAAGAAATATGAGTGCAAGATACAAGTCACATCTGAAGTAGGGGGTCCTCCCCCAACCTAGCTCAAGCCTTATGATCCGGGGTTGTACCCCTGTGACTGCCTGTAGCCCATCAAGTGGTCGTGTTGTTGCTTCAGCAGCATGTTCATTTGCATCATTTGTTGGTCTGCTTGCTGCTGCCTCTGAGCTGCACCCTGCATGTGAGTATTTAATGTATTTTGAATTTCACCTGTGCGGATGTCGAGGATTCCGAGCTGATGGTTGATTTCATCAAGCTCGTGATGGTCTAGGACAGACCGTCGTGCCCCAACTGGTGGAGGTAGTCCCTCAGAATCAGAGGAGTGGGCAGGCTGCCATTGGCTAGCCTATGCCCACTCTGTGCTGTCTACGCTCTGCCATCCTGCTCCTCCTGCTTCATGTGGTTGTGGGGGTTGATCCCAACCTGACTAGAACCCGGATGTGAATCCTAGTGCCAGCCCAGTTGGAATCCACCCCGCATGATACATCTATGGCATGACTGGGGAGTGTGGTGGCTGCTGCTGGGAGCTTCCTGCTCCGTCCCTAGCTCTTCTTCGTGTTATCCTGCCAGAAACATTGCTCCTGCAGGCTTCCTCTTGTGATACAAGAGGGAAGGTTATCTCCCGACACTTATACAAATGAAGTTCCGGGTTAGGTAACGGGAACTGATTTGTATATCCGAGGAAGAAAAACATAAGGTTTCCAGTATCATCATGTTTCAATGTATGTCCTTGGACTAAGTAATGCTCATTAACAATAATGCATGGGGTAGAAATATAAACAACATTTTGTTCATCCAGCGCACCAATATTTGAGGCAATTCTTTTAACAAGGGATGTGCAAAAAATAGAAATGGCCACCTTGAAAGTTTCTAACCAATGATTAAACATAGCCATGACAGGAGAAACTTTAATCTTTTTAACAATGGGATAAAGCAATTTTAACTCATCATTGCGGACAATTCTAATATCCTGGCTAGGAAACAAAGTCATAGCGATCCACCGATGCATGAACCTCAGGGTAGGATGTTGAATATTCATATTACGAGGTGAAAACTTGCCAACCATAGCTCGACCCAAAATCTCTCCCCAAAATTTATGACGATTAAAACCTTTGAGGGAGTAATCAAGGTCAACATAACATCTTCTGTGGAAGCCTAAGTATGAGCTGAGATCTTTCCATGTAAGAAAATATTCTACTTCAAAATGATGGAAGGTAATCCTGTTCTCAACTTCTTTCAAGGAGCATAGAAACTAAATAGTTAGAAGGCGAGAACCTTCCTCTCAGACGGGGGAAACGTTCTCCCATCCAACAGCTTTCCATATAGTGAGAATTCAGCATCCATACCTATTTTCTCAAGAAGGTCCGGGTCATATGCCGGGGTGTGGATGAACTCATGATTCTTGAATAGGGCGTACGTTTGCAGTTCCTGGTCTCCTTCCAAGTCGAGGTGGGGCGTGTCATCTTCCACCTCCATTGGCTCCGACTGTGATCTTGTTGGCGTCGCTTCTTCTTCATGCATCGAGCTTTCCGCGGACTCGGAGTAGTGCGCGCTCGAACTGCCACGGGTATGCCTTGAGCTTGTGGCCTTCTTGAGTGTGCCAGAAAGCTTCTTCCCTAGCTTATTCATGGCAGCACAAAAACAGCGATACGACAAGTGAAGCTCGAGAGCGGGTTATGTTAGCACAAATAAAACAACCGAATCAAGGGCTTGCTTTGGAACCTTGGGCTTGAAATTCCTGTAGAATTTCCTTGCACTTAAACTTTATGGAAAATTTTTTGAAGGAAGAATGGATCAAGTTTTGAGAGAGTGAGAGAGAGTGGAGAGTGGAATGTGAGTGAGAGCTCACACACCAGCCTCCATTTATAGAACTGGCCCAACAACCGAGAGGGGTATGTGGGCAACGGCTAGGAGCCATCGGAGGAGCGTGGGCGCCAGCGGCTAGCTGGTGGGGTTGGCCGCACCCTTAGGTCAGCCGCCCCCTAGTGGGCCCGCTGGTCCCCCCTTTGGCTAGCATCTTCCAATGGCCATTGGAAACATAGCCATTGAGGGCTTGGTTCGAATTCGAACCAAACTTGCTCGAATTTGATTTTCCAACAAATTTTTATTACTTTTTGGATTTTCAATAATATTTTCTAAAAAGATAAATGATACTAGGAAAATTCTAGTATTTGGAAAATGTTTTTTAGCATGTTTATGCATATTTAAAAATTTTGAATTTTGAATTTGAAATTTTAAACATGTATTTGAATTTAAAACAAGATAACTACCGATTTACCTTCGTCAAGGGCTCACCTTTTTGAGTCCGTTGAGCAGGACTTTTCTCCTTTTCAATTTTTGCTTGATGACGAGCCATCTGGTCTAGGAGAAATGGATGTGGATGACTGTACTTTCTTTACTCGCCATACATGTTTCATCTTCTTTGGTGGTAGTGCGGGAGTTGCTTCTTTGCACTTCAGAGTAAGTTTTGGGATGTTCTTGATTTT